CATATTTTTGCACATCTAATCCTGTCTTGGTGTCTGAACTGACACACAGGCCTCTTGGGAAGATTAGGTAAAATAAGATGTCAAAGGGCGTGGCACAGAGAGGCACTCCGCACATGTCAGGTGCTTTCACGGTCTCCAGTTACTGCAGCCTATAATCTGAGCCTGCTCACATAACTCTTACTGAGCGGGGATTGCTGTCCTGGGACCCTACCTCTTCATCCCTGAGGGTCCTGGCTCAGCCCTCGGAAGCCTTGCAGAGAATCTGCTCTGTCTACTTTGAGAGACCTAAAGATAATTGTCACGACCTCCCTGAGACTTCTAAACAGCCCTTCTCAATTACAGAGGTTGCAATCAGTTATGAGGAGATTTGCAAGTAAATTCTACCAGTGAGTAAAAGTAAAGAGATTTGAGTTCAGTTTTTCATATAAGCTTGAGTGGTTTTTAAATGATCTCTGCAGTAGTATCACCTACTCTCATTCACCTGCTTTCCTGAGTGGGAGACGGGGTGGAGTCACAGTACCATTGTGGCAACCTACAGTGAATGAGCGATACTGAAAAGGTTAACTGGTGATTGATTATGAATTATTGTTATATAAGTTTAAATTGGGGGGGGGGCAAAATCGAGGTGCTCCTATGGGAGAGTGTTATATATGTGACTTATCCCTTAAGAGCTGTTGCAGGGGAGAAGGGTTAAGCACTATTGTTTGAGACATATGCAGTTCTTTTATTTTTAAAAATATATATATTTCTTTGATTTCAGAGAGGAAGGGAGAAGGAGAGAAAGAAACATCAGTGATGACAGAGAATCATCTAACGGCCGCCTCCTGCATACACCCCACTGGGGATCGAGCCCGAAACCCAGGCACACGTCCTTGGCTAGAATCAAACCCAGGACCCTTCAGTCAGCAGGCCTATGCTCTGTCCACTGAGCCAAGCTGGCTAGGGCCATATGCAGTTCTTTTAATCACCTTATGACATGGTATCAGATGCAAATAAATGCTAGCATATTCATGTTCATTATCTCGTATAATCCCATTTCAATACCATGACAACCCTCCTCTCCTTAGGAAGAGATGGGAGAACTGAGGCTCAGAGAGGTTAAGTAATTTGCTCATGTCACACAGCTAGCAGGTAGGAGAACCTGGACTCAGACCTAAATCTTTCCAATGCTTAAGTTGGGCTCATCATTCTGGACTCCTTCCTCATGACATTTCCCTAGACAGGACCTACAGGCCAATGCGCTACTCCGAACAGGGGGTGACCTGACACACTGTCCTGAATTGTTCTTTGTTTCATGAGTTTGTGTCTTGTTTCTCCAGCCATACTGTAGACTCTCTCCACTTACATCACTCAGATGCCTAGAGGACCTGGCCCACGGTAGGCACCTCTAGCGGGCATGGTGTTTGAGTACTGGCTCTGCTGCTTCCTAGGCATGTGACCTTGGGATTATAATGGCACCTCCCTCTCAGGGTCGTAGTGAGGATTAAGTGAAATAATGATGGAAGGTTCTCAGAACAACATCTGTACAATTCAATAAATGTAGCTAGTATTACCCAACCTTAATTGATTGAATCATCCTAGATTCCTCCCTTTTTTTTAATCCCCAAATTATCCAATTGTCAAGTCCATTCTCTCCCCTCTCACAGCCCACGGCCCTACTGCAAGCTTCAGCTTTTGCCTTGATTATCATTACATCCTCTGAAGGGGTCTCTCTCCTTCCAGTATAAGCTTCCTCAGCACCCTGCACTTCCCCTTTGTAGCACTCGTCACACTTGTATTCACCAACAAAATTAAGCTGCATCTCTGAGTCATGCTTCTATCTCCTAACCCATTAAGTAGTTGCTCAATAAATATTTGTCCAAAGAGGTTTTTGTTTTTTTTCCAGAAAAATGTGCTAACTCCTGTCCTAGACTTCCTTAGAAATAAACCAGAATGCCCCTAAACTTGATGCAGTTTATTTAACACTAAGACCCCATGTGATGGCCAAAATAAAACTTGTAACACATCCTTCTGGCCTGGACACTCTTCTGTTCTCAATTGTTTAGTTCTCCATAATATTCAGAATAACATTCAAATGTCTCCTTTGTCCCCATTTCATTGTTAGGAAAACCAGGGCATCTAAGAGGGGAGACAGGGCTTGGAGGGTAAAGGATGATGGACTGGGAACCCTGACACAGCAAAGCCAGGCTAGAAGTGTGCAAGGAGCAAGAGAAGAAACAAGGTTTACTTTGCTTGCCCAAAGCTGTGCAGGAAATATCAATTTGAAAGAGAAGGTGGGGCAGGCCGCAGCACATAACCCAGCTTGTCCCAACTTACGCCTTCTTGATCTGGGCATCCTCTGCATTGCGAGTGATGTGGAGTACAGCGTAATAATCCTGGCCCATGGCTGGCTGGCTGGCTAGTAGTCCTCTATAGCCCTGATTCCAGCAGGGCTGTTAGTCTGCATTCCTTAGTTGCTCCTGGCAACTGCACAGGAGCACTCTGGGAGTTATAGTCCTTCCTGCCTAAGCAAACCACCTTTTCAGCTCTGTCTTATGGAAGAGTAAATGAAAGGACTGAGAGAACTGGGGCTGATTCTGTGACCCTGATAGAGATCACTCAACTCAGAAACCTTAGAGTTGAGAGTAGCAATTAGTTTTAATTAAAAATTTTTCATAACAAATGCATTTTTTAAAAAATATTTTATTTTATTGATATTTTACAGAGAGGAAGAGAGAGGGATAGAGAGTTGGAAACATCGATGAGAGAGAATCATCGATCAGCTGCCTCTTGCACACCCCCTACTGGGGATGTGCCTGCAACCAAGGTACATGCCTTTGACCGGAATCTAACCTGGGATCTTTCAATCCGCAGGCTGATGCTATATCCATTGAGCCAAACCGGTTTCGGAGAAAATAAAAATTTTAAGAAAAGTTTTAGATTTTCAGGCAAGCTGTGAAGATAGTAGAGTTCTCAAATACCCCACACTCAGTTTCCCCCATTATTAACACCTTACAAGTTCTTTGTACATTTGTCACAAATAATAAACCAATATTGACACGTCATTTATATCAGAAGTTCATTCTTTATTCAGATTTCCTAGTTTTTAACTTAATGTCTTTTTACTGTTCCAAGATCCCATCTTGGATCCCACATTACATTTAGTTGTCGTGTCTCCTCAGACTCCTTGACTACAACTGTTTCTCAAACTTTCTTTGTTTTTAATGCCTTTGACAATTTAAGAAGTACTGGTTATTTCGGAATGTCTCTTAATTGGGATTTGCTGATATTTTTTGTTTGTTTGTTTATGATTAGACTGGAGGTTGTGGGCTTTGGAAGGAAGACCACAGAGTGCCATTCTCATTGCATCAGTTCAGAAGTATATCCTGCCAATAGGACCTGTCGCTGGTGATGCTGACCTCGATCGCCCACAGAGGTATGTTTCCAGGTTTTCCGCTGTAAAGGCACTTGGTCTCCCCCTGTCTGGACTGTACATTTTGGTGGGAAAGCATTTTGAGGCCCACCCCAGAGTGGGAAGTTCTGCTCCGTCTCCTGGAGGGCTGCAGTGCACCACCCACAAGCCAGAAAGAGAAAGTACGGAGGGGAGGGGAGAGTGATAAAGCAAACAATACAAAGTTCAATCCTGCGAGATCTGGGTGGGGAGATCTGGGTGGGGATACGTTGGAGTCCTTTGTACTACTCTTGCAACTTATTTGTAAGTTTGAAATTATTTCAAAATGAAAAGTAAATTAGAAAAAATATAAAATACATCCACAGACTTGTTTAGAATAAACCTTTACTTTGCAAGGCTACTGTGAGGACTGTGCTTGGTACAGAGTCCTTGCTCCATAGCTGATGCTACTGTCAGCTCAGCTTGAGAAAGAGGCACTTCTTACAGGAAGTCACAAGGGGGCATCTGAAAACCAAGAAACAAGGTCTAGCACAGCTGCACTGGGCCTGCAGAGCTGCAGCTGGGGTTGGCCACCCTTCTTTACCCAGAATGCACTATTCAATCCAAAAGGAAAAGCAAGCTTTGTCTGTTACAAACCGTATCAATCCATTCACAGTGCACAGGCTTGGTGCGGATTTCACAGCAGCTCTCAAGGGTCACTGCACCCATCACAATGACCTGCTATGGAAAGGGGGTTATGAATGTGATAGCAGTGGAGAAGAGTGAGTCCAAGAATGGGAACTCAGACTCACTTGCCATGTGATGAACTCAAGCCATAATCCTGTTTTCTTTTCTCTCTTTTTTGAGAGAGGGGGAGGAGCTGTGGGGGTGGGGGAGGAAGGAACATCAATTTGTTGTTCCATTTATTTATGCATTTATTTGTTGATTCTAGTATGTACCCTGACCGAGGATTGAACCTGGTGTATCAGGGCAATGTCCTAACCAACTGAGCCAGACCAGCCAGGGCTCATCCTGGCTTCTTTTTTTTTTTCTAAAAAAAAAAAAAAATATATATATATATTTTATTGATATTTTACAGAGAGGAGGAAGGGAGAGAGATAGAGAGCTAGAAACGTCAATGAGAGAGAAACATCGACCAGCTGCCTCTTGCAAACCCCCTACCGGGGATGTGCCCGCAACCAATGTACATGCTCTTGACCGGAATCGAACCTGGGACCTTTCAGTCCGCAGACCGACGCTCTACCACTGAGCCAAACTGGTTTTGGCTCATCCTGGCTTCTTAATCTGGCTTCGTAGAGTACCCCTTAGACTTCCTAGGAATCAGTGTTCTCAGCTCTGGAATATGTCTCTTTGGATCACCTGACCCTATCACAAATCACTTCTTAAGTGAAACAGCTCTAGTCCCAGAAGTCTCGTGACCACATGCTCAGGTGGAAGGAGCACAGGCCTTGGAGACAGACTGCGCAAGGTCCAAATCAAGGCTCTGGTACTTTGTCTTGGGCCTCAAATTTCCTTATCCGTAAAACAGGGATATTTTCCTTTTTAACAGTGTTGTAAAGATTAAATATATAAATACAGAATCTAGAACAGAGTAAATTGCTAGCAGATACTCAATGAATGACAATATTTTATTTTCACAATTTTGTTTAGGGATTAGCAACAGGTAGAAAAAAATGGCATTTAAAGTTAAAATAAACTGTTCAAGTTCCTGCTCTCTATGACCCCTGGCAAATCACTCATCTCTCTGAGTCTCACCACTGGTATGTCACAGGTAGCAATAAAGACTTCATGAGAACATACCTTTAAGAACTCTGTAAGCCATACTGTTACCTGAGCCAGGAATTATTTTCTTCCCTTAAATAAATTCCCGATCTCAGCCTACATGGCTCAGCTCCAGGGTTTCATGCTCCAAGAAACTTTTTCTTTAATGATCTCTAAAATGTAAAGGATATGGCTTTCATGTTCTGGAAATTGTTTTAAAAAAAAAGAAGAAGGTCTAAATGTAAAAGAACTAAGATACTAAGTGAAAATAAGCCATGGAACACATAATTATTCCATTTTTATGTTTAAAGACAAAAAAAGAAGTAACCCTGTCACACCTTTGCTTAAAAACCCCTTCATGATTCCCACTGCAGCCAAGTGAAGTTCAAGCTCCCTATCTGGCATTCAAGCTTCTTCATTATTCGGGGCTTCTCCAGCCTCATCTCCCACAGACCAGCCTGGCCATCCTATGAGCCATGGGTTCCATCTATGACGAAAGTGCCCCATACCATCTTTCTCTAGATCTCAAACTTCAGCACGCTTCAGAATCATGGAAGATTTGTTAAAAAAGATTGTAGGCCCTACCCACAGAATTCCTGATTTAGGTCTGAGGTGGGCTCAAGAATTTCTATTTCTAATTCCCCGGTGATACTGAGAAGCTGTTCTAGGAACCACTTTCACAGCCACTGCCTTTACTTCATCACCTGTATATAGGCTGACAGAACATGTTGGTTTGCCTGGAACTGAAAGCCACAGGTGGCCGAAAACCCCACAATACAGGGAAAACTGGGATGCTAGTCATCCTACCTGCACAAAAGTCTTTTCCAGGTTGTGCCTATGGGATCTTTACTGCTAATGTCAACAGTCCTGTATGACCAGGCCAACAAGAAGTGCCTGAGAAAGGAGTTCCATCAGCCTGACTGATTTTCTGCTGGAATAAGAACATTTAACCAAGTTTTCAAATTCTGACTCCTCCAAACATACTCTCTTTATTCCCTTCAGAGAACAGGCTTTAGTCCCTGGTCCTGTAAACATTTAATACAACGGATGTGTGATCAAACTAAGTATTCCATAACCCTGCCCTGTGTGGCTGCAGTGAGTTTATAGAAGGAGAAGTCGGGACAAACGCAGTGAGCACATGTGAGCTTCTTACTCAGTTCACACAAGTCTTGTGTGGCCAGTGGAGCTCTCGGTGACTTCCGAAGGGTGCCCAAGACACCAAAGAGTAGGGACCTCGGGAAGGACTGAAGATGCTTCTGCTCGCTGTTGGTCATGGCCAGTCGTTTTCATTAGCTGGGCCTCCTCCCTCACAGGGTCAGAGGTCAGAGAGCTGATAGCGCCGCACCAGGCCATCTCGGCAGCATGTGTAGATCTGCTTCTCCCACGTGGCTACCTGGAATACCAGAGTCACAGCTCACAGTAAGCCTGGAATTCTCCCATTCCAGACAGATAGAGCCTTGTCGTTCACCCCCACTACAAGGAAGTCAGAAGTTTTGTTTACTTCAAAGACAAGAAAATAATTACATCTGTATGTATTTTTAAAATGGCTAGCCATTATCAAGAGCACTATGATTAGAAACACTAATTAGCCAAGTAGAGAGCAAATCCATTAGTGTTGTGCCTGCTTAGAGAATCTATACCTGGGAGGAGATAGATGGTCCATAATGGCTCTTGGTATGCCTGAGCCTCATAGAATTATACACAAAAGAAGTTCTCAACATGTGCCTTTTTTCTGAGGAGAATTTCATAGACTCACAAGAGTCTGAGACCCAAAGAAGGTTAAGAGCCACTAAATTAGTGAAAATAGCATTAATTCAGGAGTTAGCTGAGTCTCAGGTTTGCTTATGCATAACTGCACGACCATGGGCCACTTTCTCAACTCCTCTGGGCCCCAATTTCCTTATTTGTAAACTGAAAATGATTTATTAATTCACAATATAGAACACTATGCAGAAACTTTTAGAAATAAAGTGTATCTATATGCATTTGTCTGGAAAGAGCTCCAAGATGATAAATAAAAAAAACAAGTGCCTGGCTGGTTTGGCTCAGGAGATAAGAGTGTTGGCCTGCGGACTGAAGGGTTCTGGGTTCAATTCTGGTCAAGAGCACATGCCCAGTGTTGGACATGCAGGAGGCAGCTAATCAATGATTCTCTATCATCATGTTTCTCTCCCTTTCCCTTCCTCTCTGAAATCAATAAAAATATATTTAAAAAAAAACAAAGTCATAAAGGCAATATATATAAGATGATCCTGTTATGTACAAACTAAGATAAAACTGTATTATTTACATAAATACATAAGCACAAAAAAACAGTCTTGAAAGATATGTGCCAAACTGTCAATGCTAGTAACTTCTGGAAAGTTATTAGCGTGGCTCAGTGGTTGAGTATTAATCTATGAACCAGATGGTCAGAGTTCAATTCCCAGTCCGTGCACATGCCCAGGTTGCCGGCTGGATCCCCAGTTTGGGGTGTGCAGTAGGCAGTTGATCAATGATTCTCTCTTATCACTGATGTTTCTATTTCTCTCTCTCCTCTCCTCTCCTCTCTCTGAAATCAATAAAAACATCTTTTTTAAAAACAAAAACTCTAGGCATGTATTAATTACACAATTTTTTTAAATTATAAGAAAAATAGGAGTAATAATACCTATACTTCAAGAAATGAAAACACTTAATGAGATAATACATGTAAAACTCCCTGCACAATAACTGGTCAATATTATTTCCCTTTATTTTTCTCTTTCCATTCTAATCAAATTAAAAATCAGTCTTGAACTTTAAATAATAATAATATCTAATATTTATAGAGTATTTTTAAATATATATTTTTATTGATTTCTGAGAAGAAGGGAGAGGGAGCGAGAGATAGAAATATCAGTGATGAGAAAGAATCATTGATTGGCTGACTCCTGCACACCGGCTACTGGGGGTCAAACCTGCACGCAGGCATGTGACCTGACTGGGAATCGAACTGCTACCTCTTGGTTCATAGGATGATGTTCAACCACTGAGCCACTGGGGTATACAGTACTTTAAATTTACAAGGAGCTTTCATATACATTATCCCAGTATTATCCTCATTTTACAGATGAACTGACAGATAAGAGGTGAAGTGATTTTTCAAGTTTCTAGATCTAGTAAGTGATTAAGTAATTCCTGACTCAAAATTCTGATTTCTTTCTATCCCATCTCTAAGTATTTTATCACCATAAAAATCACAAAGTGACTGGATTCAGTCCCCTCCAAAGCTCTACAATAGATCCCAGGTGAGAATCATCAAGGCTTAGTCTCCAGTCAGGCCTGTACCTTGTACACAGGGTCACAGTCAGCCCCAGTAAGCTCAATGACATGGTCTAAGTCTTGCTGGACAATGAAACAGCTTCCATCACCTAAAAGGCAGAAAGAAAATTTAGAAAAGTGAAGAGAAATCTGCAAACAAAAGTTTTTTTTTAAAAACCTCAATATTTTAGCCGAGACCGGTTTGGCTCAGTGGATAGAGCATCGGCCTGCGGACTGAAAGGTCCCGGGTTCGATTCCGGTCAAGGGCATGTACGTTGGTTGCGGGCACATCCCCAGTGGGGGGCGTGCAAGAGGCAGCTAATCGATGATTCTCTCTCATCGATGTTTCTAAATCTCTGTCCCTCTCTCTTCCTCTCTGTGAAAAATCAATAAAATATATTTAAAAATAAAAAATAAAAAAATAAAAATAAAAACCTCAATATTTTAATTTATTTCTGTATGTCACTAGCATAAAGAAGATTGCCCTAAGATATGGAAAGGCAAACAGGTTTCATTATGTAGACCAACTGTGAGGACCTATAGTGGCTGCCTAGAATGCTAGGCTACAGAGGAGCTGAAGGTCAGTGCCTTCTGCGGGAAGAAGGTTTGTCTTTGAGGAGCAATACCTGCCAAGGGCACAGAGCAAGCAACTACAGAGTTATATATCTGTATGCAAACTTATCCTAAGCAATAACTTTTAACAGCACCAACTACATAGTGGGCACTAAGTTAAATGCTGGAAATAATACAATGAATAAGGCATAGTCACTACTGTCAAGGAGCTTGGACTGGAGGGGGACATAGACAATTACAATGTAGGGAGATAAACACTATGTGATAAGCACAATATGGCAAACAATTGTGGAGGACCACGCCGCTAGCACAGCCACAGACCAGACGCTTAAACCTATGTTTAACTGAATTGCATGGAACCATTCTCTTGATTGGCCCTGGACCCACCTTGGCTAGCAATGAATCCGTCTCTGAATCTCAGCAGGGATAGAACTGGTGCTCCTGATCTGTGGATGACTTGTACTGGATCCCTAGGATGCACAGTAAAAGGGGCAATTTTAGTTTTTTTCTTCAAAAGCAATGCCTGACTGTATAGTACTAACCACATAATAGCAAACAGGATATAAGTAGAGATTAAATATTCATATGGCTTCTTTCCTGCAAGATAATTAAATGGTAGATCAAGACAACCCATTCTAAAATACTGTGGAGTGAAAACAAAAAACAGTAAAAAAATAAAATAAAATACTGTAGAGTGAATCTAAATCTGTCTCTAAACATATCATTGAACTGAATAAGCCTGGTCACCACCAAAATCTCCAGTTTTGGGGGAGACTTTATAGTGTAAACAATATGTAAATCTTTTTACTTCTAGATAATTAAAACAGTTGTGGAATATTAAAATTGTCAGGACTCTAAAAAACAAAACAGAAAGGTGAGTGAACATCAATATTATATATATATATATATATATATATATATATATATATATACACACACACACACACACACACACACACACAGAGGAGAAAAGGGAGTGGGAGAGATAGAAACATCAATGATGAGAATCATTAATTGGCTGCCTCCTGCATGCCCTCTACTGGGGATCAAGTTTGCAACCTGGGTATGTGCCCTGATGGGGATAGAACCATGACCTCTTGGTTCATAGGGTGACACTCAACTACTGAGCCATACCAGCTGGACAAGAGTAGTTTTATAATAGTGATCAGAGAGTCCCTATCTCCAGGAAGGCAAAAACAAGTATAAAAATAAAGTAACTTAACTTATGGAAGAAAAGGTATAAGCTAGTCATTCTTTAAAAAATAAATAAATAAATAAATAAATATATATATATATATATATATATATAGATATATATGTATGTATGTGTATATATATATATGTATATATATATATATATTTTTTTTTATTGATTTTTTACAGAGGAAGGGAGAGGTATAGAAAGTTAGAAACATCAATGAGAGAGAATCATCGATCAGCTGCCTCTTGCACACCCCCTACTGGGGATGTGCCTGCAACCAAGGTACATGCCCTTGGCCGGAATTGAACCTGGGACCTTTCAATCCTCGGACCGACGCTCTATCCACTGAGCCAAACCGGACTAAAGAGGTTGGAATTTCTTCACTGCTTTTGGAATAAAGTTCAAAGTCCTTAGGCTGGTACATAAGTCTTTTCTAAGCAAACTCCCACTTTCCTGTCTGTTGCCCTGTCTGCTGGGGACATATCTGTCATATCAAACTATTCAGAGGTCCCTGAAAGTGCCATACTTTCACACGCCTTCATGCTTCTCTATATGCTATTCTACCCTTTTGTCTTTACTTGATAACTCCCCACTGGACAAGATGCAATTAAAGCCTCATCTTCTTGGGAAGCGATCTCACCTTCTTCCCTCTCCTTGGTGCTTCCTCATATCCCTGTCAGACACTGATCACACTGTATCATGACAGTCTTTTACTTATTGGGTGTTACTACTAGACTCCAAATGCCTCAAAGTCAGAATTTATATCTTGTCTGGTTTTCAGTGCCCTGCACAAGGCCTGGTGCCCACAGAAGCTATTCAATAAATATCAGTTGAACAAAGGAAGAAATAGAGAGAGGAAGAAGGTGTAGACATGTTAAATCCTGGGACAGAAGGGTTTTCTCTGGATAGCGTTAAGATCAGAATAAGGCTTGTTTGAGATAGGTTATGATAAAAGCTAAATAAAGAACCAGAGCTGGCTTATTTCAAACTGAAAAATGATCAATTTTAGGCCAACCCAGATCAAATACCATAAAGAAAATTAGTCGGTGTTGGTGGCAGAGTAGTAAGCATACTGCCTTCCATAAAGAAAATTACTGAGCTCCTTAAAATTAAGTTTTACACAATTTTAAAGTGAAATATTAGTTCATGTTTAACCTTAATTTCCAAAGTAATCACCACAATAGGACATTCATGACAGTATGAATCAAACCACCTTTTAATGATTCAAAGAATGATAATAAGGATTCTAGTAATAAGAAGAACAATCAGACAATTCACATCAGAAAACCTTTATAAATGGAAAAATATACCCTTGATTCAATAATCACCTATATGCTATGCTAAACCAATGTTAAAGCCAAAAAAATTTCCACTCTGTAGAAGGGCTACATCATGCAAAGGGATGGTGACTCACCTTGGACTCCTCACATCCAGCTGATAAATGTTTCCATCCTGTGTCCCAGCTAAGAGCAAGAAGCCAGAGAGAAAAGTACAGCAGTTGAAGGCATCTGAGCCAATAAAGAGGAATACCTGGGAACAAGTAGGAGACAAAAATGCTGTTAAAGCTTAATTTGTTTCCAGAAATAAACAGGCACCAAAAAATAAAAATTTTACTATTTTTAGAGATATTTTCTTTCTTCCCCCTTTAAGCATTCCTGTTATTTATTTATTTATTTATTTTTAAGAATCAAATTTCCGCTCTAGCCAGCTTGGCTCAGTGGATAGAGCATGGGCCTTTAGACTGAAAGGTCCCAGGTTCGATTCTGACCAAGGGCACATGACCAAGGGCACATGCCCGGGTCGCGGGCTCTATCCCCAGTAGGGGGCGTGCAGGAGGCAGTCAATCGATGATTCTCATCATTGGTTTCTCCCTCTCTCTCTCTCCCTTCCTATCTGAAATCAATAAAAATATGTTAAAAAAAAAAAAAAAAAGAATCAAATTTTCTGCTTTATTTATTTTTTTTAATCCTCAACGAGGATATTTTCCCATTGATTTTTAGAAAGAGTGGAAGAGAGAGGGAAAGACAGAACTATGGATGTGAAAAAAGCATATCAATTGGTTGCCTTCTGCATGGGCTTGGGCCCAGGTCAGGGAAGAGTCTGCAACTGAGACACATGCCCTTGACTGGAATCGAACCCGGGACCCTTCGGTCCGCAGGCTGACATTCTATCCACTGAGCCAAACTGGCCAGGGCCCTTTAAGCATTCTTGATCTAAACCAGGCCCTCACCTCATCAACAACTGAGAAAGAAGCACTCCCAGGATTTCAGGAACCTGAGGTTGGCAGAGGACTTCAGCAGTTTATATAATACCTTAGTCTGAGGCAGCAATTTTCAAACTACTACCCCTCAACACATTGACTCACAGAATACTCAACATAAATCATTCTTTTCCCTCTTTTCATTACAACTTTCCATTTGAGAAACACTTGCAATGCACACATTTAATATTTGCTGCATGTCACTTATAACCACATTTTGAAGGGAGATAAATTTGTAGGAAAAAAAACTAACCTTAAATAAACTGGCAACTTAAAGAATCACAATTCTCCTTATGTACTTGAGAAAAGCAATTATCAGATTTTTATTATTCCTGTTAGCTGACATTGATCATTTCTCCCCTGAATGTTCTAAAAAATAAATACACAAAGCAAAACAAAAATCCCTGATTTAAAAGCCAGCATGTAAATTCAGAGTGCAAAGGCAGTATGATAAAAAATAGTGATGTTCCTGGAACAACTTTGAATATGGAAACATTACAAATACAATGAACTAAGGAGATAAAATGAAAATACACAGCTTATGGCCAAACCAAATCATTAAAATTATCTGGTGATGGAGTTGAAATTTGAAAAACCTAATCCCAGGGAACTCAGTTTAATTAAAAACACAATATGCTCAGCAAAACTTCAGAGGATGAAAGAAGGAAATTCAACTAATTCTTCTATAAAAGATATTATGATCATTATTTAGAGCCCTGAGTGTGTGAGTTCTTTACTCAGAATTTCTTCATGTTACCTGAGAGGTGGAAAGGAATCTATAAAACCTATCATTTTATAACAGCACACGGAGGCCCAGAGGAAAAGTGACTTGCGGTAGAGCATGTAAGCCTCATCACATAACCCTATGAGGTAAGTCCTACCAGGCCCAGTTTAATGATGAGGAAACAGGGTCAGACAGGTTAAGAAACCTGTGTGATGTCATAGTCATTAAATGGAAGAGCTGGAATTTAAAGGTTGCTCTATTCTAAATTCCATGCTATTAATCACTAAATGAACTGCCTCTCACTCATGCAGCTATCTCAAAAGTGTACATGCAGAGATGTTTCTCAAACAGCCTTCCAAGAATCAGAGTGACCCAGCTTTCCCTAGAGTTCAAAGAACTTAGAGGAACCACTTGCCGGCTGCCTGCTCTGTAGTCCCAAGCACTGAAGTTTCTTATCTTCCCGGGCCAACAGCAGCATTTTCGATTCTGTTCCAACCTCCCGTTCACCTGCATGACACATGAGCTATGTCAATAACTGGTTGATCAGCTGGCAGTACCCAGAAAGCAAGACACTGATAGTTGTTTACTGAATTACTCTGTTAGTGATTCACTCATTAATTTTTTAAAAAGTACTTTTATTAAATTTTAAAGAGCAAGGAAGGGGAGGCGGAGAGAGAGAGACAGAGAAACACTGATTGGCTGCTGCCCATGTGCCCCCTATCCGATATTGAGCCCACAATCTAGGCATGTACCCTGATCGGGACTCAAACTGGCAACCTTTTGGTGCACTAGTCGATGCCCAACCAACTGAGTCACACCGGGGTCAGGCAGTGTAAGGGTTTGTGATAAACCATGGTAAAGGGTTAAGATTTTAATATATGTGTAAAAGGAGGCCACTGGAGAAGAGTAGGGACAAAGAACAGTGACATGACTTGATTAATGTTTTTTATTATTTATTTATTTAATATATTTTATTGATTTTTTTACAGAGAGGAAGAGAGAGGGATAGAGAGTTAGAAACATCGATGAGAGAGAATCATCGATCAGCTGCCTCCTGCACACCTCCTACTGGGGATGTGCCCGCAACCAAGGTACATGCCCTTGACCAGAATCGAACCCGGGACCTTTCAGTCCGCAGGCTGACGCTCTATCCACTGAGCCAGACCGGTTTCGGATGATTTATGTTTTTTAAATGACCACAATGGTTGCTCTGAGGAGAACGGATTATAAGAGAATAGTACAAGCAATAGATGATTGATAGATTGGACCAGGATACTGGTAGGAGGGAGAATGGAAGGGAGAGGGCAAGGTAGAAAAATTCAAAGCACTCTGAAGGTAGAGTAGACTTTGCTGATGTGGGACATGAGGAAAGGCAGGGGTGGACTGTGAATGAATCCCAGGCTTTGGGCTTGAGCAATGGCAAGATGGGGAAAACAGATTGGGGCTGGGGGAAGAAATAAAACACTCTTTGTCAGACAAGGTAAGTTTGAGCTATTAGACATTTAAACAGAGTCTAAAACACAGGTGAGAGGCCTATACTTAAATGTACTTTTGGAAATCACCAGCTTAAATATAATACTTAAAGCCATGATCACCCAGGGAGAAACTGTACTTAGAGCAGAGGGCCCTCCAATACTTAAAGGAGAACAAAGGAGATTTATAAAAGGAGACCAGGAATCAGCAGCCAGTGAGATAGGAAGAAAAGCAGTATAGTGTGGTATCACGGAAGCCAAGACAGAAAAGTTTCCCGAGAAGAAGGGCTGACATTGAACTCTAGAAAATTCAGAAAGAAAAGCACAGAGAAGTAAAATTGGATTAGGCAACGTGGAGTCACTGGTGACCCTGCCCTAACTCCCATCCTGCCATCCTTCTTCTTATTTTTTTTAAGATATATTTTATTGATTTTTACAGAGAGGAAGAGAGAGGGATAGAGAGCCAGAAACATCGATGAGAGAGAATCATCGACCAGCTGCCTCCTGCACACCCCCTACTGGGGATGTGCCGTAACCAAGGTACATGCCCTTGACCGGAATCGAACCCGGGACCTTTAGTCCGCAGGCCGACGCTCTATCCACTGAGCCAAACCAGTTTCGGCCATTCTTATTCTTATCTGTCCACCTGGAATCCATCCTTCAAGATTCAAGTCATCTTTTTTTGTGACAACTTTCACATCAACACTAACCCAAAACAGTGTCTTCTTCCAAGAATCACTAAGTTATTTCAGCCAAAAACTTATTGTTCTTTGTTTTATAGGTATTCATCTAATCTGATATTAAACTGTAATTATGCAAATGCACTAACTATGACACAGTTCTTTTGTAGATTTTAAAGCAACAGAAACAGAGTAGGTTTGCAATAATATTAATCTTATGGTGAAAATAGAAATACCAGCTATAGAGCAAAAAAGGAAGAAGAAGAAAAGGAGAAACTAAGGCTAATACTGAAGGGGCCTAAGGAAACAAAATAGCTCATAGATCATTATCAACTTACTGGGCACCTGGTCAGGGCAGCCGAGGTTGATGGAGTTGTCAGCAGCACCCACAGCCACTCCGTTGATGGAAGAACCACAGTCTGCAATGACTCCCAGGCAGGCTGAGCGCCCACAATCCCAAAGTCGTGCTGTTCCATCTCGAGAACCAGATAACACATTCCTCCCCCGATCGACAATGGCTGTATCTAGGATACCTGGCAAGAGAAAAAAAAAGATCCTGAGGTAGAATAAGTGATAAAGGAACTTCAAGAGCAGAGAAGACAGATCTGCATAAATGACTCCATTCCTTCACAAACATACTGGATATATACTACATGCTGGGCACGGTCAAGTGCTAGAAAAAATAAATAAATGGAACAGAGTCCCTGCCTCCCATTGGTTCAAACTAGCTGTGAGAGACAGACATGGAAAAAGCGTTGGATTTAATTTTTAGTGGGGTATCCTAGAGCAGTGTTTTCCATGATTTTATTTTGGCTTTAAAACCTGTTTTTTAAATAAAAATTAAGTAGACATCTTAGAGTTCCATTTGGAAAATCCCTTTTAAAAAGATCCTGGTGCTTCCATTGAGAACTAATTGAAATGGTTAGTCTCCCCAACTTAAAAGAAAGAATATGACTTTTGGTCCAGCCAAGATGGAGTAACCCCATTCCTCCCAGGTTCCTCCTCTCACAACTAAAAAAAACCTGGACATAACAACACCCAAGCCTAGGAAGACTGAAGGTTGGAAAGAAGGCAGACCATCTAGGGACCTCAGGACTTGAGCAATGAGTTCCCTGGACTTCCTTATTGCTTCCCACGTATACTGGACAGGACTCTGCAGAAGTCTGCGACATGCAGCTGGTTAAAAAACCAGACACAAGACCATCTTTCCTTCCCTCCAGCAGCCACAGCCATGAAGGCTGAGCTGTGCAGTTTCAGTGGGCACAAGATTTACCCCAGACACGGGAGGAGCTATGCCAGGACCAACAGGAAGGATTTCCAGTTTCTTAATGCAAAATGCGAGTGGGCCTTGCTTTCCAAGAGGGATCCTTGACAGATAAACTGGACTGTCCTCTACTAAAGAAAGCACAAAAGGGGACAGGAGGAAGAAATTCAAAAGAAAAGAACCCTCTGTGCAGTCACATTCCAGAGGGCCATCACGGTGCATCTCTTGCTGATATCATGGCCAAGAGGAACCATGTCCTGAAGTTAGGAAAACTCAACGAGAACAAGCTATCAGGGCTGCCAAGGAAGCAAAAAAGGCTAACCAAGCATCTGAAAAGACAGCACTGGCTGCTGACAAGGCTCCCACAAAGGCAGCACTAAGCAGAGGATGGTGAAGCCCATGAAGATTTCTGCTCCCCGTGTTGGTGGAAAATGCTACGTTGGCAGATGAGATTCTTAAATAAGGACCTGACTATAACTAAAAAAAAATAAGGAAAAATACTCGCATGCTGGGTTTTAAAAATAAATAAAAATAAAAAACCAGGCACAGTTTTAAAAAAACAAATAAATTCCAAAAAAAAGTCTGTTGCCCCTCGCAAAAGATGGGAAAAGGGTAGCCTTCAGAGCAGAAAATCTGTTGGCCATATCTACCCCACTCAAACAGCAGGAGGAAAACTGCGACTTCCCCCTCACCCAAGGTTTCCATGGGGCTGAATAGGGAATGACAGCAATCAAATTTCCCCAGTGACACTGACCAGGCCCAGCTAGGTATTGTCAGCGGGGTTCAGGGGTGAACTGAATCTCTACCCTCACCTGACACAGCAACAGGTGGAAAAGAGGTAGAATGAGATAGTGACAAATAGCACCCCATTTTCTCCAATCACCCTTCATACCTCCTTTGTGACCTTTGAAGGTTGCCACACAGCTAGCATCTTCAGCTGACCAGATCTTCAGCTGGGCATCCATTCCCCCACTCAGAACCACAAGGCCTGATGGGAAAAACCTGCAACAATTCACATCAAACACATGTCCTTCCAATACTCTCTGGAAAAACAAAAGAAAATTCCAGGCTAGTACTTTTGTCCATCCCTTGATGTTCTCTTACCTCCCATATCCTTGATCCCTTAAAAGAATTATCTACGTGCCGAAGCCGGTTTGGCTCAGTGGTAGAGTGTCGGTCTGTGGACTGAAAGGTCCCAGGTTTGATTCTGGTCAAGGGCATGTACATTGGTTGCAGGCACATCACCAGTAGGGGTTGTGCAAGAGGCAGCTGGTCGATGTTTCTCTCATTGACGTTTCTAGCTCTCTATCTCTCTCCCTTCCTCTCTGTAAAAAATCAATAAAAATATATTAAAAAAAGAAAAAGAAAAAAGAATTATCTACATGCTATACTTGCATGCTGGGTTTTAAAATGAAGGAGGTCCAAATAGCTCCTCCTCTTTAGCTCATTTGTCTACCAGGTAGTGTTCTAAGAGCTAGGCTCCCTTTCCGGCTTTGGCTACAGATGTGGATTTGAACTCCATGGCTCTCACAGCCATGTGGAAAGCAATAAGGGAGTCTAGTTCTACATATAAGAAGCTGAGGAGGGCCCTAGCCAGTTTAACTCAGTGGAGAGAGCATCAGCCTGGGGACTAAAGGGTCCCAGGTTTGATTCCGGCCAAGGGCACATGCCCAAGTTGCAGGCTCAATTCCCCCCATCAGGGGACGTGTAGGAGGCAGCCAATCAATGATTCTCTTTCATCATCTCTCTCTCTCCCTTCCTCTCTGAAATCAATAAAAATAAAAAAGCAGCAGCAGCTGAGGAGATTGGGGGGCTATGCCATACAATTAATATAATAGCTTAGCTACTCTCTCTTAGAAACCATCACTGAAGGCAGTTTATACCAAGGGACCACACACTTAGACATTCGCTGGCCTGGCTCCTCCACTGTCCCAGCCCCAATTTGATCTGCAAATCACCTAGCTTGAGGATGGTTTTCAAATTTAAGAAGGAAACAAAGATCCACTGAAGTGCAGTGGTACTATATTTATAGAAAGAGACACTCTTCTTTCCATGACCCCGTCTGAAGGTTCTGAGACCACCCTTCATGCACAAGACCCTGAAAGTGCATCCAAAGCCTTACTCTGAGCTCTCCATTGGAGGCCTGCCAGATTTTCATGCTCCCATCAGCACTAGAAGACACTCCAAGGCCTCCTCCACTGGAAATGTCCAGGCACGTTATCTGTTCAAAAGACAAAACAACCGGTGTTACTAATAATAAAATGCTCCTCTTTCCCCGGAGTATGTTATAAATAACCCGTTTCACACTCCTCCAAGACTTATCCCAACACAAAGGACATGTGTTTCATGTAAAGGTTGACTATCACCAATTTCCCAACAAGGGTAAAGCCAATGCCTTTTATTTATTGAAACAAAAGGGGCAGGCTGGGAGAGGTCAATGGGGGGAAAGAGGGACAAACTTTCCACAATAAAGATTAAAAAAAAGATATTGAAGTAAAAATAAGATTGTTTATATGCTAACCCAATATGATTAATGTCCTTGTAAAAAGAGGAAGTTAGGACACAAACACACAGAGTGAAGACCATGTGAGGATACAAGCAGAAGATGGCTATCTACATGCCAAGGAGAGAGACCTCAGAAAAACCAACTTTGTTGAAACCTTGATCTTGAATATTAGCCTCCAGAATTGTGAGAAAATAAATTTCTGTTAAGCCAAAACAAAACAAAACAGGAAAAAACATACAAAAAGATCCTATATAATAAAGAGCTAATATGCTAATTAGACTGGATGGCAGAATGACCTTCCAGAAAGACCAGTGGGCCGGAGGGGGAAGGCAGGGCTGCAGAGTTGCAAGGGCGGAGGCAGCCTGGACTGCGAAAGCCTACTCCTGTATGAATTTCATGCATTGGGCCTCTAGAATACTTATAATCATCTGTAGTTTCTTGTTTCAGCAATGAAGTTTTCCCTGTCCCCATATCATTTTCCATAGTTTCCATCTTTTGCTATTTTATTTTAAAATTAATATACCACTCCTAATTCTTAGGAACCCACTTACACAAAAGACAGTCTTCCAAGATGCTCCAAAAGAATTCAAGGAAAAGCAAAGTAAGTTGCTTTCAATTTTCTACTTCACATTTCCTCTGAAAATCCTAATTATTTGTGTATGTGTGATTCTGAATAAGAGAATCCCCAGATTTACTTAAGTGGTTTCAATATGAGCAATCACTTCATGAATAAGCCATGATCAGAATGCCAAGTCTCCTTCATATTATATATATTCATAAATACATACCCTTTTTATTTAATAACACCCAGTTGCAAATATTTCAGAAATGTAAGACAGACATATTCCCAGCAACAATGATTCACATATGACCTAAATTATTAAGGAAAAAGTAGGGACTTTTGCAGTAATTATCCAACCTTCCATTTTACTTTGCTCTTTGACAGTTAAGCCATTATAAATAGGATTAGCAAGAACTAAAGGAATATGTCAATTCTAACATTTTCTAAGATTTTTTCTTCTTCATATTGGTTTCTCAGAATATAATAAAAGAACTGTTAACTTAATTGTGAAACATTTAATTTTAGGAATTATGACAACTTAATTTACATCACATTTTATCATTTATAAAACTCTTTCAAATACATTGAGCCATGATAGAAACCTAGGTCAGAGTCTAAATCTAAAGATCTATTCCTTAGTCAAAACAAAAGAACAAACATAACAAAACAAAAGAACAATGGAATAATGCTAAATACTGGATAAAGATGACAATTCAAGCCAGTGAGATAAAGGACGAATTACTTTATAGTGCTGTGACATGCTAATCATTTCAAAAAGAATTAAGTTAGATGTCTACTTCAAACCAAATAACAAAAACAAAGTTTAAAATGTAAAATGTAAAAAATAAAAATTAAAAGAAAACACTATATTTACACTTTTTTTTTTTTTTTATGAGTGAAAAAATTTTTGCATTTATTATTGCTTAAGTTGTGATTAATCTCCATAATTACTCTCTTTTAAATCAATTGAGGAAAATCAGTGAATGGCCATTTGTGCACTTGTGTACACACTAAGTTACTCAGCATTTTGGAATAAAATCTAAACATTGTTTACTCTGTGACAGGCATTGCTTTGAGAACTAAGTTTTAATCCTCATATTTCCTAATAAAATATATTTTACTATTCAGATTTTACAAATAAGAAATTTAAACTGAAAGTGATAAAATAATGTATCTAAGGCCACACTGCTAATAGGTGACAAAGTAAGGATTTAGCATAAGCTTTATCTGGCCTTGAAGTGTACCTTGCAAATGCACGTGGTGTTACTGCTTAGAGCACTTACATCCAACATTCTGTCCTCACATTCTTTTAGAGCAGGAAACGTTAATGTTTCCAATCATATATTCTTTACCATGAAAATAGGAATAATGAATAAGAATTTTCAAATTCTAGCAGTGCCCCCAAGAAATAATTCTTAAGATACTGATGCATTTCAGAAATGTAGATAAAGTGCAGTGGATCATTCCGGAGGCTGGAAGTCTGAGATCAGTGCCGGAATGATAGGGTTCCAATGAGGTCTTCCTGCCTTGCAGAGGCTGGCTTCTCATTGTGAATTCATATGGAAGAGGGAGAGAGAGACAGAAAGATGAGAGAGAGAGAGAGAGAGAGAGAGAGAAAAGAAGAAAAAGAAGAAGAAGAAGGAGGAGGAGGAGGAGGAATATATTTACACTTTTAATTAACACTTATTTTATGTTTACTATGCTCCAGACACAATTCTAACTGCTTCAATCCTCATAAAAATCCTAAAGATATACATTATTTTTACCGCCATATTATAGTAGTCTGTAGCACATGGTATGTGGCTTAAGGTTACACAGTAAGTGGCAGAATCCTGGGAGTCAAATCAATGAGTCTGTCTCATCCATTATATTATTCAATTAAAGTAACTTTATGTATATAATCATGTACTACTCTAAGCAAGATTCCAAAGGCAGTTACCAAAGGAATAAATTGATAGGTTTTTATTATCCAAAACCCAGTAAGTAGCTAAAACATTTATAAGAACATTTCATTTCAAAATTCCTTTCTCTAAGATTACAAGTGAGTGGTTTGTACATATATTCTACTAGAGATCCAGTGCACAAAATTTGTGCAGAGGGAAGTGGGGGGGGGGGGCAGTTCCTCAGCCCAGCCTGCACCCTCTCTCAATCAGGGACCCCAGAGATCAGGCCTAAGCTGGCAGTCATCCTCTTCGCAATCCAGGACCACTGGCTCCTAGCCATTCGCCTGCCTGCCTGTCTGCCTGATCACCCCTAACCACGCTGCCTGCCTGTCTGATCACCCCTAACCACTCTGCCTGCCTGCCTGATCTCCCCTAACTGCTCACCTGCCTGCCTGATTGCCCCTAACCTCCTCTTCTCAGCCCCTGCCGCTGTGGCTTCATCCAGAAGGACATTTGGAATGAGGTCCGGAAGGTCATTCGGCTGTCCAGTCTAATTAGCATATTATACTTTTATTATTACAGATGTGGTCTCAAGTACCAGTTTTGTCTAACATTATCATACTTCATCAGCTGTTATCTTATAATCAGAGAAGTGAACCACATTAATTATGAGTGTTTACAGCACTAAACAAGAAGATAAAATGAAAAATTAATTAATGATATTACATTTCTCCTCATTTTATCAAAATACTTACACTCTTTGCATGAATTCTGGAAAAAGTAGTGTATGGTGTCAAAAACTTCGAAGATGCATTTTCTTTTGGACATGAAATATGAATACTTTTCTAAACAGAAAGGAAAGGATGAAATACATCAGTAAAGCTATTCCAATTAAATTAAAGCCTCGTAAAGAAAATGTTAGGACAACAGGAAATTCTCATCTTTTAAGTGTGACCTCTCTAATCCTCCTTCCCCAGCCCACAAAACTACTGTTCCCTTATAGAGTACTAGTAGTCTTTTCACTGCAGGGGCTGCAATGTAATTGGCATCACTGAGATGCCATTATCTTTTTATGTTAAGACAAATCAATACTAAAATACAGCTGACAAACATGAGAACATCACTTTTTAGAAGAAAATTTAATATCAGCACTCTTAATTAGCAGTGGGGCAAGGAACAGGATAAAAAAATATGAGAAAATAGCACCAGCCCTGAAACCTAGACTAAAGGACTAGTCTAAAAATAAACTTGCTGCCTATAAGAACTTTTAGATAAAAATGCTAGACTACTGTACAGTTACAATGAAAACTGGTAAAGTAAATATGGTACATTCTTACAACGTGTAGGGCCTGGTCACGCTTGCAGTACCCATTCCCACGTAGGACTTACACTGGCTGTACATATTTTTAGACTGATCATCTTCACATCCATAGCTGTATTATGTGTTTTGCCTGGTCATTATCACATATCTTCCAGCTACTCTAGCAAGATAACACTAGTGACAGAGTAAGAAATTATACCTAGAACCAGATGTTAGATTCAGGTGACATGATTTGCTGAAGGCAGTCTTTGTAACCATTACAAGTACGTATGTTGGTATTTCTAGGTAGCATGTGTAGAGGTATAAAAGGCTTAGCAAACCCTTTCTCAAGGATTTGGTAAGACATTCCTTACTCTAAGCCAGTGTTTCCCCAACTTTTTGACATATGTGTACCCCTTCTATAATTTTTGTAATGCTGAGTACCCCTCGTACTCATGAGAGCGTAGAATTAGGAACAGCTAAGCACGGTGAAGTGCATATCCCCACCAAACTCCGGTGCAACGCGTACCCCCACCAAGCTCTTCCCGTACCCCTGGGGGTATGTGTACTACACTTTGGGAAACACTGCTCTAAGCGGTAGGATACCAACACCAACATCTCCTACACACAGCTGAGGAGTTGCACTCATCAAATGGCCCCAAACCTATTAACTATCTTTTCCATGGAAGTACTTCAAAGTTTCTGAAAATTCTGCTGTGCAATGAAAATATCTTCAATAATCAAGATTTTCAGAACTTCTTTATAAGGCTAATCTATGTACAACAAGCACAGTCCCCACAGTTCATTAGAAAGAACAGTTTCAAAGTCATAATATTGTTATCATTGAAAATCAATATACTCTTATTACAAGTCTTCTACGCCTTTAAAAATACAATTAGAATATCTATACAAACAGTACTTTCTTAGCCAGCATATCTATGCCTGGCTGCCTGCAGGCTTTTCATTAAATGAGTTTTTGCTTCTAACCGCGTGACAAAGCCCACACGCTGCCAGAGAGCTGACCTGGATTTGGAATTGTCTCTGTACCTAAAACTAAAGCGTCAGCTAAACTCTCCTTGCTAAATATTCATTTCAAGCAAGGATGCGGGGGCTCTGAGAGCTTTAGTGATCAGGCCTCTGTAAGTATTGGTTTGTTCTCAGAAGAGTTCCTTTCCTTGGGCTAATTATGGAAAGAATTCAAGAATCAGTGGTTTTTCTCCTGCTTATCAATCCTGCAAATCAACCTTTGACCCATACACATACTATGAAGGAAGATAAGTGTTGAACTACCTTCCAATGTCAGGAGTAGAGAGTCATGCTGTTAATGAAAATATTTTAAAGAAAAGCTGCAGAAGGTATCAAAACATACAGAATTTAGGGGTGAGGGGATAAGAAGGGGGAGTGTGAGTATTCCATACTAAGGTAAAATTCAAAGTCAAACTTTTTATCTTCAGGGGTTAGGTTTTTAAGCATACTAACAGATCTGTTTTAAAGAAAAATGTAGCAACATCAAATAGCAAAGTGACTCATGGCAGTTAGGAAACAAATGAATGTTTAACCATAAGCACTTACTGTCTGACCCAACAGGTACACAGCAGAAATTAACAATGATGTTGGAAGGTAAGAATTGTATCAGGGCCTGAGTATGAAGGGAAGAAAGGAAGTCAGCACCCAGGCTATGGATAGATACCAGTGAAACACCTAGAAAAAATGTAGGCTTGCAAGGCGGTATTAACTTGCAAGGCGGTTACACATATTTTGGGTTTCAATTCCGACATGCAGGCTAACTAGCTTTGATTATTAGGGATTAATGAGTCTGTTTGTTTATCTACAAAATGGACATTAAAAATGCTAATCCCAAAAGACTATTTTGATAAACAACAATAACTCATTTTTATAATATTCTACAGTTTCATTCATATACAGTCTCACTACCCTCTAATCAGCCTACAAGGAAGAATATTAATTAGGTTTTTAAAAAATATATTTTTATTGATTTCAGAGAGGAAGAGAGAGGGAGAGAGAGAGAGAGAAACATCAATGATGAGAGAGAATCATTGATTGGCTGCTTCCTGCATGCTGCACACTGGTGATCGAGCCTGCAACCTGGGCATGTGTCCTTAACCAGAATCGAGCCCAGGACTCTCCAGTCTACAGGCTGACACTCTATCTACTGAGCCAAACCAGCCAGGGCTTATCTCTGTTTTATAGATGAGATGAGAAAACTAAGGCTCGGGGAACTAAGTTATTTGTCCAAAATATCTTTTCTTTTTTTAAAATTTAAATTTTTTGGAGTGACATTGATTAATAAAATTATATAGGTTTTAGGTGTATAATTCTATATAATACACCATTTGTATATTGCACTGTGTGTTCACCATCCTAAGTCAAGTCTCCTTCTGTCATCATTTATTCCCCTTTACCCTCTTCTACATCCCTCTGGTAATCACCTTACTGTTGTCTATGAGCTTGTCCAAAATCATTTTGCTAGTAAGTATCAGAGTTAACTATGAGCTGGACTCAGATCTTCTGACACTTTCTACAATTCCAAAGCTGTCTATAGAAAACAAATATAAGATATATAATAACATGTAGCCTATCACCCTCCACAGAGGGTAATGAACATTAGCTAAACATCTATGTAAAAAAATAATGTATTTGCTATTCTTGTCACTATACCAGAAATGTTTACAACTAAAAAAGTTTAATTACATTAAAAAAAAGAAAAAAGAGTTTACCCATCTCACCAGAGCATATTGACTGCAGCCATCAGGATGAATAAAGAAAATCAGATAATGGGTTCTTAAAGACCAATGAGAAAAACTATTAAGTACTTGGTGAAGGCCTAGGTCTTCATCAAGGCCTAGCCAGACATATTATAGTGCTCTGCCATACAATAAGGTAGATACTAGCCATATAAGATTACTGAACACTTAAAATATGGCCAATGCATATGAGGAACTGAATTTTTTAAAAAAAAAATATTTTATTGATTTTCCACAGAGAGGAAGGGAGAGGGATAAAGCTAGAAACGTCGATGAGAGAGAAACATCAACCAGCTGCCTCCTGCACACCCCCCACTGGGGATGTGCCTGCAACCAATGTACATGCCCTTGACCGGAATCGAACCCGGGACCTTTCAGTCCGCAGACCGACGCTCTACCACTGAGCCAAACCGGTTTTGGCTGAATTTTTAATTTTTTAAGTATGTGAACCTATATTCTCAACTGTAAATTTTTAAAACCTAAACACATCATCAAGTATTTCCAATAAAAAAAATTAGAGTCTATGCCTAGCTGGTGAAGCTCAATGGTTGACCTATGACCTAAGAATCAGCTGTAGGAGGCAGCTGATCATTGTTTCTCTCTCATCATTGAGGTCTCTCTCTCTCTCCCTCTACCTTCATCTCTGAAATCAATAAAAATATATTTCAAAGAAGTAATTTCATTAATTACAGATAGAAATGTTTGATATATTGGGCTAAACAAAGCCCCAAAATAAAGAGAACATATTCATATTTATATGAAAAAAATATATATATATATGTGTGTGTATATATATATATATATATATATATATATATATATATATATATATTTTTTTTTTTTTTTTTCCCCAACCACAACCCAAAGGGGCTCTTTATGGAATATAAATTAAGAATGTTAGCCCTGGCCGGATAACTCAGTTGGTTAGAGCATCATCCCAAAATGCCAAGTTTGCAGGTTTGATCTCCAGTTAGAGCACATATAAGAAGCACCCAATACATGCATAAATAAGTGGAACAACAAATCAATGTTTCTCTCTTTCCCTTCCGCTCTCTCTCTAAAATAAAAAATAAAAATTAAAAAAATTTGAGGATTCTGAACTTCTGGAAAATATTTGCAATATGCATGATAGATGAAAGTTAAATAAAATATATTATTAGAGCCGAAACCGGTTTGGCTCAGTGGATAGAGCGTTGGCTTGGGGACTGAAGGGTCCCGGGTTTGATTCCGGTCAAGGGCATGTGCCTTGGTTGCGGGCACATCCCCGGTAGGGGGTGTGCAAGAGGCAGCTGATTGATGACTCTCTCTCATCGATGTTTCTAACTCTCTATCTCTCTCCCTTTCTCTCTGTACAAAATTAATAAAATATATTAAAAAAAAAATATATATATATATTATTAGAATAATTTCACTTGTTTCTTTTAGGCTACTAGAAAATTTAAAATTATATATGTGGCTCACATTATTTATCTGTTGGAAAGCACTGACATAAGGGAAGAGGAAGTTTTATTACATCTAAATGTATATGTAATTACAAAAAAAAATCTTTGACATTCAAAAGCAGTAAAAACTGTGATTGTTGTACAAATGACATGGAGATGACACTGACACATAGATAACAGTATAAATATATATATATTTTAAAATATATTTTATTGATTTTTTACAGAGAGGCAGAGAGAGGGATAGAGAATTAGAAACATCGATGAGAGAATCATCGATCAGCTGCCTCTTGCACACCCCCTACTGGAGGGTGTGCCCGCAACCGAGGTACATGCCCTTGATCAGAATTGAACCTGGGACCTTTCAGTCCACAGGCCAACGCTCTATCCACTGAGCCAAACCGGTTTCGGCAACAGTATAAATATTTAAAGTAGATGTATAGGAACAACCATATATATATGAACATGGTGCCATCTAGAAGACATAAAAACCTACCTTGCTTATTTCATTCACAATGAATCCTTCTGAAGCTGTAATCTCTGGGATGCCATCGGGGCCAATTCCTTGACAAGTTAGGTTGCCATACAAAGTTGGTTTCCCTATATAGCACAAAAGAAGAATGTCTCAAAAAAATAAGAATTTAACATTTTTCTTCTTGAAGACCCAATTCAGGCAACTGTACTAGTATAGATGGTAGGATATTGATTAATGAAAGAAAAACATGAGGCGAAGTGGAAAGAACACTAGCCTAAGCGAAGCTAATTTGGGAGAACTATATTCAAAGGCTAAAAACTAGAGACAAAGATTTCGAGATATAATGTACTATTTGTAGAGAAAGCTACCAATGTGATCTAAACCTAAGTTTTACTGGCCATGAAATGGCATTCTTCCAGGATGAAAGGTGAAGATCAATGTGAATGTATGTGCTTATCCACAGTATCTCTCTATATAAAAGGCTAATATGCAAAGTGTCACCTCAGGAATTCGACCAGGAGTTTGATTGCTCACTATGATGTGTGCTGAACACCAGGGGCGGCATGGAACATGGCAGGTGATCAGTGGCTGCGGTGGGGCTGAGGGAGGGAGGGAAGGATAAGATGGGAAGGCGGGGAATTGAGTAGTGGTGGCATGTGTGTGGCAAGGGAAGGAGGCAGGGAGGCGGGGAACCTGGCTGGCCCTGATCACCAGCCAGGCCTAGGGACCCCACCCATGCAACAATTTCATGCACCAGGCCTCTAGTATACATATAATACAGAGCAAAGAGCTAAGCTTCATTAATCTGAAAAAATGTACTTAAGTAAAACACTGCTTTTGCAATAATATGGGCTAAATAAGATATTATTCTACACAAACACATGTGTCAAACACAAGGCCCGCGGGCCAAATCCGTCCTGCCAGGCCTTGCAATGTGGCCCGCACCGTGCTGTCATCACTGCACTCCGCTGCAGTTTCCATCACAATGACAGTTTATATATTGTATATTTATAAATATACATATAAATATATATATTGTATATTTCTTATAGAAATATATTATATATATAATATATTTCTATAAGAAATATACAATATTTATATATATTTATATATAAATATATAATATATATTTATATATATATTCTAATATATATATTTCTATAAGAGCCCATAATACTCTGTTTTACATTTCTGACCTCCCACTGGACTGTTAAGTCCTAGAGTTCAGAAACTAGTAGGTTGCTATAAATTTTAAAAAATATATATTTTATTGATTTTTTACAGAGAGGAAGAGAGAGGGATAAGAGAGTTAGAAACATCGATGAGAGAGAAATATCAACCAGTTGCCTCTTGCACACCCCTTACTGGGGATATGCCCACAACCAAGGTATATGGCCTTGACCGGAATTGAACCTGTGACCTTTCAGTCTCCAGACCGACGCTCTATCCATTGAGCCAAACCGGTTTTGGCGGTTGCTATAAATTATTCAGCAAATAACTATTGGTACAAAACTAAAATTCTGAGAGTAAGAGGAAACTAAAAACCATCATGGATTCACAGATGGGGGGGCTTCCTAGAGAGGGCGAGTCTTTGAAAGAAAGACAGGACTAGGCAGAAGATAAGGGAAAGGAAACTCCAAGTCAGGGAGGGGACATGTCAAGAACAGAAAAGAAAAAACAAGGAAAAAGGAGTCATCAATTAACATACTAGTTTGGTTACAACCATCAAGGAAAAGGTAGCTGAAGGACATTAATATAGAAACTCACAATCTAGGGTAGAGGTTTGGACTAGAGAAGATCTAGTGAAGAAGCTTTTGGTAAGGAAGTGGCATGAAATGCTAGTTCAGAAATATGCTGCAAAAATAGGATTGAGGAATTCTGTTTTCTTGTCCCATTCCATGAGTACTGTGCAAGGACTCTTGGCCAGGAGAAAGTAGGACAGCTTTCTCCTCCACTAAAGGGAATGTGTACAGACTTAAGGATATTACCTGGAGGGTGACAGCTCAGCCAGGCCTCCCCTTCATCCTTCCTATGAAGAAAGACAAAGCCTCATTAGGCTCACTCAACATTGAAAAGGATGCCACTGATGCAAGGGGAGAAAAATAGCATAATTTTCAACTTGGCCATAGTACACAGACATGATCTAGTCTAACATCTCATCCTGGCATAAATTATTCTAAGACAAACTTAGTTTACTTGTTAAAGAAATATTTGTGGATTAAGTGTTTAATGCATATAATGGAATTTACTATTCATTAATAGCTGCACAGCTTTGAAAGATAAAGAATATATTAATTTCGCCAAAACCGGTTTGGCTTAGTGGTAGAGCGTCGGTCTGCGGACTGAAAGGTGCCGGGTTCGATTCTGGTCAAGGGCATGTACCTTGGTTGCGGGCACATCCCTGGTAGGAGGTGTGCAAGAGGCAGCTGGTGGATGTTTCTCTCTCATCGACGTTTCTAGCTCTCTATCTCTCTCCCTTCCTCTCTGTAAAATATAAGTAAAATATAAATAAATAAAAAAGGATATATTAATTTCGATCATTGGGGGATTACTATAAGCCAGTCCCTGTGCAAGACACTTTGCATATAGCATTATTAATCTACACAATTTAATAAGATATCTTTTTTAAAAATATATATATTTTATTGATTTTTTACAGAGAGGAAGAGAGAGGGATAGAGAGTTAGAAACATTGATGAGAGAGAATCATCGATCAGCTGCCTCTTGTACACCCCCTACTGGGGATGTGTCCGCAACCAAGGTACATGCCCTTGACCGGAATTGAACCCGGGACCCTTGAGCCCACAGGCCGATGCTCTATCCACTGAGCAAGACTGGTTTCGGCTAATAAGGTATCTTTTATTATTTCCATGTTAAAGATAGAAAACAAACAAACAACAGAAGCTCAGAGAAGTGACTTGCCCAAGGTCACCTACCTATGAAGCAGGAACTGAAACCTGACTAGTATAGGCCTGTGTTCCACCACCTTACAGACTTTTTTTTTATGTTCTAGAATGCACCTCCCAACCATTTAAATCAATATGTCACCTAGGGTACTGGGAAGGGGCATAGGCTTTAGCTTGCCAGCATCTCTCTATCACTTATTTGCTGCACAATCTTGGGCAAGTTTCTTCCTCTGATCCTGATCCTGCATTCTCTCACAGGCACCGAGTGGCCCTCAAATAAATGTTAGTGTTCTTCCTTTGGTATTTATCACCTATTCTGTGTTGCAGGAAGTAATGTGTTCTTTTAATTTAGCCCACTTAGTAAGGTGTACCAGTAAGTTTCTTAAACGCAGGAATGTTATTCATCTTCACCACTGTTTCAATTTGAAAAACCTTATTAGTAATAATAGTTGCCCTTCATGGTACTGCAGTACTCATCCCGGCGCTAGAGAAATATTTGTTAAATAAGTGAACGGTTTGCTGTGCATTCCCCATTAAACTGTCAGCTCGAGGGCAGGAACTACCCCTTCCGTGTAGAAGACCCATCTGAACTGCATCTGAACAGCACCGTGCATCTATCTGGGTGGGTCTGGACCTGGTGGGTGCTACATGGTTTACTGAATACAATTGTCCAAAATGACAAACACACTCAACGACCCTGTGGTGGTGGCAAGGGCTGGGACTTTCGCAAATAGCTGACGATCAATAAATATCTGGGTCTCCTGCTTCCCAGTTGTCCAGTCTTTCTCTCCAACTCATTGATCCTCGTTCTGATGCTGGAATCTCAGCACGCTCATGTGTCCCCTTAGCCTCAGGGTAGCTCTTCTGAGAATGAAAAAACAATGGCCATGTGGGTTTGAGACTTCTTTCTCTAGACCCAGTGCTCCCTCAACCGCTGATGCGGTAACTCCTATGGACATCCTGGGTCGGGCATAGGTCTCAACGAAAAGAGCACCATCACTCCCCGCCTCCTTGGTCCCGGCTCTACGATTGGATTCACCTGAGGGCTTGGGCCCAGTCGCTCTGAATCCTCAAAGGCGCCGCCATCTTGACCACGCCTCCACCAACCCGCTCTTCCGCTCTTTCCCGGAAGTGGCTCCTCCGGAAGGGCTGCGGCCAGTGCGGAGGGCGGGCTCCACACCGAGAAGCCACCAATGAGAATGCGCGGTGGGACCTTCCCCGCCGTCCTCTCCACGCATGCGCGTGCTCTCCTCACGGAGGCTGGTTCCCGGCGGGAGGCTCGGAAGCGTTCCAGCTGCGGACGGAACGGACGCGCCGGGGCGCGCGTTCAGTCCTCTTGTCTTATCCGCCTGTTCGGTGAGCACTGCTGCAGCTTCTTTGCTCGGTGAAGCGTGACGGGCACTGCGAGGGCGCAGAGCCGCCGGCATTCCTCTGCTTCACCATTCTTCCCATGTCTCCTCAGTCCGGACCGGCTTCCCATTCCAGCAGCTACCGACCTTCCAGCCTGCCCTGTTCTCTGAGCCAGTCCTGCCTCGTGTTCCTCCGGGGTAGACGGAAGCAGGGAGGTGGTGGGGGAAAGAGTAGGGTAGCATTTCCTGAGTCCCGTGGTAGCCCAACCATTGGGCATCGTTACGTTAATGCTTACACTAATTCTGTGACTTACATGTTACCTTAAAGACGAAACTGAAAAAAGATGGCGTGATAAAGCGTTGCCTGTATTCGAACTCGGGCTTTTTGGCTTAGGACTGAAGGCACTTTTCTTTCCCCTGTGTTTGCTCTAAGGTTTGCTCCTTGCCTTTAAAGTGCTCACAGTGGGTTAAGAAGAGGAAACACGCGCCGAAATAGGGACGACCATTATTGAACTCTTTGGGCAGGCCAGGCTCCTTTACCAGCGTTATCTCATTTAGTCTTTAACAGTCCTGTGGGAGTATATATATCATCTCCATTTTTCAAGAGAAATGAAGTGATTTGCTTAAAGTCACCCAATACATCAGTTTCCAACCCAAGTCTGTTTCAAAGCCCATTTTCACCCTCCTCAGGTTATACTGCCCCACAGCAAATGGGTTCTATGTAGGGCTGTGGAGTCGCTTAAATCCTCTGGTCACGTCCCCATTGCCTTCTCGGCGCCCTGCCATGGCTCACAAGGCCTGGCTCTGATCAGATACTTTCTCATCTTGCCCGTTTCATTTGTTTTGTTTTCTCCGCATAATCTATTCTCCAGTCACACAGAACCTTACCTTCCTCCCGTGAGTCAAATTCTCTTTCCAATAGCCTTCCCCATTTCCTCCCTTCATTGACAGGAGTCTTCTTCCTTTCCATCTCTAGTTAATTCCTGTTCATTCTTCAAGTGTCAGTTTACAAATCAGTTCCTTTATCCCTGTCTGGATTAGTTATCACTCCACGGTGCCCCGAATCTGAGCTATCTGTACACAGAGTACAGTAAACTGCCTGTTTACTTGTCTAGACTGAAATTCCGTGAAGGCAGGAACTGTCTCTCTGGTCACTCCTCTGTCCTCAGCTCTAGAATATGCCTGGTACATGATAGGTGCTCAGTGATCATTTGTCAAATGTATCATAGACACAGGGAAGGCATTAAGCAGCTCTAGTTTCTTTATAGCCTGACATGGTGAAATGTGTCCAAAGGCTGAGATAATTTCTTCTCAAGTCTTTCTTTTTTTTTCTTTTTTCTTTTTTTAATATATTTTATTGATTTTTAATAGAAAGGAAGGGAGCGGGATAGAAAGCTAGAAACTTCAATGAGAGAGACATGGACCAGCTGCCTCCTGCACACCCCCTACCGGGGATGTGCCCACAGCCAATGCACATGCCCTTGACCGGAATCGAACACGGGACCTTTCAGTCCGCAGACCGACGCTCTATCCACTAAACCAAACCGGTTTCGGCCTCAAGTCTTTCTTAAGTTCTTTCTGTATGCTATCTTCTTTTTAAAAAAATGTATTTTATTTTTTACAGATTGGAAGGGAGAGAGATAAAAAGTTAGGAACATCGATGAGAGAAACATCCATCAGCTGCCTCCTGCACACTTCCCACTGGGAATGTGCCCACAATCAAGGTACATGCCCTTGACCAGAATTGAACTGGGTACCCTTGAGTCCGCAGGCTGATGATCTATCCACTGAGCCAAACTGGTCAGGGCTGTATGCTACCTTCTACTCCGTGTTCTGAAGCAGATGATCTTGGGAAGAAGTTTGGGCAAATTCACCTCACATTAAGTACTCATACTCAGCTCTCAGACTCCTCTCTTGCCCTGGCCACTACATACCGTATGTTACAGCCACACAACTCTCTATTCCTCCCATTTGTCAAACCCTACACATTCTTGGGTATTTCCCCCAAGTATTAAACTTTGTTCTTCAGCCATAGAATAACGCTGATATTAGAAAAGAAGACATTCCTTTGGGGTGAATCAGAGATAGCTTCTCCAGAAAGGTGATATTTTACCTAATTCAAATTCCATTAGCAGAATCTATTCCAGCTTATTGTTCTAGCATTCTCACATACTTTGTCTCATTCCATTTAGTTCAAACCATTTGTAGGCCTGCTCTCTGCCACACCTAGTGCTGAGGACACCAAGTTGAATCAGGCCCATTCTCTGTCCTCAAGTAGCTTAGTCTCCAAAGAGAAACATATACATAAATACCGTGTTTCCCCGAAAATAAGACATCCTCTGAAAATAAGACCTACTTACAGGTTTCCTTCTGAGTGAAATATAAGGCATCCCCCCAGAAAATAAGGCCCCCCTAGGCTAAACATGAGAGATTTGGTCCACTGATTCTGAAAGAAATGGAGTCACAAATTCACCAGGAAATTCAGGAATTGGATTGTTATGATGATGTTCCAGAAGATGATGACATGATTGTCATTGAATAAGTGAGTAAATTCTTGATACTGTAGGATTCACAGTTTGTCTGGTTTGTGTTGACAATTACCGTACTACCGTACCGTATACAGGTAATAAATTTCCTTTATTTTCATTTAACAATAAATGTGTAGCGTATTATTCTTCATGGAAAAATAAGACATCCCCTGAAAATAAGACCTAGCGCATCTTTGGGAGCAAAAATTAATATAAGATTTATATATATATATATATAATTCGGGGAAACGGTAGGCTATAACAGTGCAGTGGTCAGTGTTATCTATACTAATAAAAGGATAATATGCTAATTAGAACAGCCGTCTTCCAGACAACCACCCAGACATCCTTCTTAACAAAACACACGGGGGAGGGGGGCCCGAGGCCGAGGCAGGGGTAGTTAGGGGGATCAGGCAGGCAGAGAAGTTAGGGCAGGCAGGCGGGTGAAGGGTTAGGAGCCAGAGGTCCCAACTGCCAGTTTAGGCCCTATCCCTGTGGACATCCCCTGAAGGGTCCCGGATTTGAGAGGGTGCAGGTTGGGCTGAAGTACCCTACCCCCCACCCTCGTGCATGAATTTCATGCACCAGGCCTCTAGTTTAATATAGAGGAATCCCATATATAATTATGTTCCTACTCTAACCTTGTCTCCATTGATGTCTAGAGATTCCTAAAGATGTCAACTCAAGGACATACTTGGGCCCGTCAGGTGAAGAAGGAGGGTGAGGAAGAGGACCCGCTGGACCAGATGATCTCCCGCTCTGGCTGTGCTGCCTCCCATTATGCAGTGCAGGAGTGCATGGCCCAGCACCAGGATTGGCGGCAGTGCCAGCCACAGGTGCAGGCCTTCAAGGACTGCATGAGTGAACAGCAGGCAAGGCGGCGAGAAGAGCTGCAGAGGAGGAAAGAGCAAGACAGTGCCCACAGCTGAGCCCCAAACCATCTATCCCCAGAGGATGGCCTGCAGAAACTAGCACCCAGACAAATCCTAAACAGTGGAAGTGTGGGCCGAAAGGTATAAAACTCCGGATAGTCTTTGGGGTTGGGGCTGACAGCCAGGCAGCCATGGGCTTGGACATGACTGTCATAAAGAAAGACCTGTCATATTTTATTTGTTTAAAAATCTTTATTGTTGAAAGTATTACAGATGTTGTTCTTTTATCCCCCATTGATCCCTTCCACACTACTTTTACCCGCCCCACATCCTCCATCTTCATCACACCATTTTCCATGTCCAAGGATTATGCATATAAGTTCTTTGGTTAATATTTTTCCTCCTCCCTTCCCCCATGGCTGTCATATTTTTATGGTGAGAACCACACATCCTCACTATTTTTGTTTCACGAATATTAAATATTGACCAATATCTGTCATGTAAAACAAAGAGTGGGGTTAAGGCATGTTCTTCTATCCTACATCTTGGGTCAGTGTGCCAAGTACTGAGCTAATTACATGGACATTGAATTTTAGAAGTAAATTCACAATCTAAAGGTAAATTGGTTACCTAATATGTCTTCATTTATTCAGTCATTGGTTCAACAATAGCCAGATTTCCTCAGACCTCACATGCCAGGCACTGTTGGAAACCAATGTGATAAATAATATGATCTTTGCCTTTGTGTCTAGTTTAAGAGACAAATGAAACAACACTGGAACAACTAAGTAATTCCTAACAATGATATAAGTGACTTTATCTTTCACAAGTTGTTCTGGATGTTTCATCTGATCTAATAGAAGGGAAAAAGCAATGTGGAGGAAAAAAAACCACTGAATGACTCTTACATGCTAAAGTCTATTGAATTAACAGATGTAGAGTCTGACCTCAACACACTCCCAACCAAACACATGTAATGTTGACTTGACGTTCAAAAAGTACATTTAACATAAACACAGATTTTTCCGCTTTTGAAAATTAGAGAAGCTGTCAACACAGAGCTTATATTCCTACTTGACAACAATTTGCTGGAGCTAAATATGGTTTCTTTTAGGTGGTTGCATTCTCTGGCTCATAAATTGCCACCACTTCTCACTTTGTTTCCATGGAATTATATTGTTCATTCTGTTACTTCTCACCTAGCCTTGTAAGGCACTGACCTGTGCAAAGGGACATATGCTGTCATCATCATCATCAGTAATATTTCTTGTGTATGTGTATCACATATCATGTTTTATTTTATATCTATATAAATTAGAAGCACAAATCTAAAGTACAGTAGCACCTAAAACTACCTTTGAATGTTAGTATTTGGGGAGGAGAGAAAGAGAAAAGAGAGGAGAAGATAGGAATACCGGTTTAAAGAACAATAAAATCCAATTTCAGCCTCAAGCAGAAGGGGCTGGAGAGAGAGACGGAGAGAGAGAGAAGAAGATGTGCTAAGTGCTGTGGGTCATCAGAAGGAGTACTGGGGACTGGGGTTTTCAGCAAGAATCTCAGAAAAGGGATTTAGTTGAGTTGAACCTTTAAAGATAAAGTAGATATTACCAATTTGTAACATAACAGGAAGGATTACCATCTGTAGCAAATAAAAAGTATCTAGAATTCAGTAAGAAAAAGCAAACAGCCTTAGCCAGCTTGGCTCAGTAGATAGACTGAAGGGTCCCAGGTTCTATTCTGGCCAATGGTACATGCCTGGATTGTGGGCTCAATCCCCAGTAGGGGCATGCAGGAGGCAGCAGATCAATGATTCTCTCTCATCATTGATGTTTCTCTCTCCTCCCTCTCTGAAATCAATAAATATATTTTATAAAAAAGGCTAACAGGCCAGTTGAAAAATGAACAAAGTTAAATATTCCTCCACAGTCCAGCCATTGTGGCTCAGTGGTTGAGCAATGACCCATGAACTAGGAGCTCGCCAATTCAATTCTGGTCAAGGCACATGCTTGGAATGTGAGGGCATGTAGAAGGCAGTCAATTGATGTTTCTCTTTCAACAATTTCTATCTCCATCTCACTTCCTCTCTAAAATCAATAAAAAGCATTTTAAAAATTAAAAATATACCCCCACAATAGGAAAACGTATTCTGCATCACTGATAGTAAGACAAATGCAGATTTTAAAAAGTATTATCTGATCCTCTTGGCAAAAATTGAAGTTTTTATAATGCTTTTAGCAGAAAGGATAGGTGAAAGAACCTCCAAACCAGCTATGGGAAGGTAGCAAGTTTTGGAGGATTACAGCTATAACTGAACTAATGCTGGATGAGTAACAATATATTTAGGCAAAGGGTGCTTAACCCTTTTCCTTAAGTAAATGAAGATAAGTCCTATTTAATAGACACACTAAAAGAATTAAATGAGATAATATATAAGTAATAATAAAAATTGTTAGCATTTATTGAACTATTAACTAATATTTATGGAGCATTTAACCCAGACCTTTTGGTTCCAGAATCTGTGCTCTCATTCCCAGTGATATGCTTTCAAATCTCACTATACCACTTACTAGCTGGGTGATTTGGCGCAAATTACTTACCATCTCAGGCTTTGCTTTTTTAAAAAAAAATATATATATATTATTGATTTTTTACAGAGAGGGAGAGGGATAGAGAGTTAGAAACATCGATCAGCTGCCTCCTGCACATCTCTTACTGGGGATGTGCCTGCAACCAAGGTATATGCCCTTAACCAGAATCAAACCTGGGACCTTTCATTCCGCAGGCTGATGCTCTATCCATTGAGCCAAACCAGTCAGGGCTCAGGCTCTCTTTTTTTCTTCTATAAAAATAGTTATAATGCCTTTCACATAGGCCTCACAACTAATAAATATAGGCCTTCCTCATAGGATTGTTGAAAGAATGAGTTAATATTGGTATAGCAGGTCTTTAAAGTAATTTCTTTCAATGTCATTTTGTTAAAATGATAAGAAATGTAGGAATTTAACTGTCTACGTCAATTAGCCTATTACATAGTAAAATTCGTGTCATTATACATCGTTTTGCTTAAAGTTAACCTACTGACATTAAGAACTTACTGTAAAGAGCTTAGAAACAGTGTCTGGTACTTAGTAAGTAATCACTAAATGTTAGCTATTATTGTCATTTTTCTTGAGTGCTAGTCACTATCCTGAGTTACATTATCTCATTTTAATCCCTCATAACACTCCATTAACTCACCTTTACAGAGGAGGAAATACAGGTCAGATTGAGGATCAGACTCCAAGTGTGTCTTGTTCTAGAGCCTATGCTGTTTTCTGCTCTGCTCTTTCACAAGCTTCTGGTGCCTGGTATGATGCTGAAAACAGTAAGTAACCATATTTACTGTGTAAATATTGCTGTAGTTTTTTTTAGTGCTTTACAAAAGGAAATTAACCGGTGCAGGTTGCCCTCAGTGTTACAGATTAGTGTGGTGGTGGTGTTTTTTGTCTCAGCTCTACAGCCCACAGCTATGGCCCTAGAGTTAAGGTGGTCCGTGCCTGTCCCTATACAATCTACACCTTTCCCTGCAGAGAGGCTTGGTGTCAAGGGATTAATAGAGAGACCTCTTAGCTGGCTGTCCCCCATTGGGTAGGCCTAGGACTGACTCATGATTTGGCTCTTGCCTGCAAGGTCCTTGGCTGGGAACTTGGCCTGTGTTCAGTGGAAAGATGCATTGTACTGTGTTTTACTAGATGAGTAATAAGATACTCTTCCCACTTTCACTCCCTCAGGTACAATTGCCAGACTTTTCTTTCTTCAGAGCCTGGGTATTTTGTCTAAATAGCGAGCTGATTCTCTAAACCTGAAATGTCTCAGAATGAAAGTTTCCAGGGGAGTTATAAAAACTAAATGAATCATTTTAGATTTCCGGGGATATCAGACATTTGGAGATAAAAATGGCACAAAGAGATCAAAATACTACATGTGAAACAAGCATGAGACACATTGGCCACCCCCGTCTGCAGTGTTTTGCAGCAGGTCTAGTTTTAGACACCCCCAATGCATGCTTGGAGAGCTTTTCTTCACTTTACATTCTAGAAACTGTGGGAACCAGGGATCTCAGCATTGCTGTGGTGTCTGAATGGCCAAAATATCCAGATTTCATTTCTTTCTCTGCAACTAAAACACCCTTTCAAGATCCACAGTGGGCAATTTAAAGCTCTGGTGGGGGAAATAAGGCATCCTCAGCCAGAGGAAAAGGACTAACAAAGCTGAGGAATCTACTGACTGTAACTACCCGTAGTAGAACTCCCCATATGACCCCAGGTCCTATTTGAAAATTACTGATTTACAAAGAAATCCATTTCTAACAATCACAGTGTGTACTGAACCAGGAATTGAATGTCCTGGGGCCATCCCTGGCTGACCGTGGTTAACTGGGTAACCTTGGACAAGTCTCTTTCCTTCCTACACCAGTTAACTCATCTGTAAAATGAAGACCAAAACATATTATCCCAAAGGTTATGTGTTGATAGAGCCAAAACTAAAACCCAGCTATTCTGATTCCCTAATCTATTGACCTCTCTCTTCCCTCCTGCCGACCCCGCTAGTCTTTATAGCAGTACTAGGTAGGCTATAGTTTAACCCTGACTAAAGCAGAAGTATGCGGAAGGAATGAAGTATTGATACATGCAACAACACAGATAAAACATTAGGGTAAATTAATATAAGACACAAAAGGCTACATACTGGGTGATATTTAAATAGTACTAGCTAGACAGACCAAACCAATCTATGGCAATAGAAATGAGATTAATGGTTGCTTCTGGGGGAAATGAAAGAATGTAAAGGAACACACCAGCCACAATATTTTTTCTTTTTATTTTTTATTAAGGTATTATATGTGTACATATCTTTCCATTACCCCCCCCCCCCCAATATTCTTTATCTTGATAGAAGTATAGTTTTCCTAGATGGCTGCATTTTTTAAAAATATATATTTTATTGATTTTTTTACAAAGAGAAAGAGGGATAGAGAGTTAGAAACATCGATCAGCTGCCTCTTGCACACCCCCTACTGGAGATGTGCCCGCAACCAAGGTACATGCCCTTGACCGGAATCGAACCCGGGACCCTTCAGTCCACAGATCGATGCTCTATCCCCTGAGCCAAACCGGTTTCGGCTAGGTGGCTGCATTTTTAAGACTGATCAAATAATACATTCAAAATCTGTGTTTCACTATATATGTTCTATCTTCATGGGGAAAAAATATTTTAAAAGTATGCTGAAGAAGTTTAGAAGGAAAGGTAATCTAACATTTACTGATCACTTGCTAGCTTATTATGTACATTATCTCAAACTCCTAAAAGAGAATTATCTCCATCTACAGATTAGAAAACTGGTTTAATAAGATGAAAATAACTCACCTGAGGCCTCAAAACTAATAAATGTAGAAACTTTGGAATAGCCCAGGTTTGTCTACATCTTTTTTTTTTTTTTTTTTTTAATATATTTTATTGATTTTGTACAGAGAGGAAGAGAGAGGGATAGAGAGCCAGAAACATCAATGAGAGAGAAACCTCGATCAGCCGCCTCCTGCACACCCCCCACTGGGGACATGCCCACCATCAAGGCACATGCCCCTGTCCGGAATCCAACCCAAGACCCTTCAGTCCGCAGGGCGACTCTCTATCCACTGAGCCAAACCGGTTTCGGCTGTCTACCTCTTTATAATAGGTTCTCAGGAAAGGAGACTTCATCCTAGAGGCAGGAAACAGACACCCCCTTTGATCTCATTGCCATTTGACCTTGGAAAAGTCCATTTCCCTCTGGCCTCAGTCTGGAGCAAGGATGGGGAACTTTTTTCTGCCAAGGCCATTTAGATATTTAAGACATCACTCTCGGGCCATACAAAATTATCAATTTAACCCAGCATGGCTCAATTGTTGACCACCGACCTATGAATCAGGAGATCATGGTTCAGTTTCCGATCAGGGCATATGCCTAGGTTATGGGCTCGATCCCCAGTGTAGGGTGTGCCGGAGGCAGCCAATCAATGATTTTCTCTCATCGTTGATGTTTCTCTCTCTCTCTTCCTCTCTGAAATCAATAAAAAAAAAAAAAAACATATAGGTTTTTTTTTTTTTTAAAAAGTGGTGGTTCAGCCGGGACCAGTTTGGCTCAATGGATAGAGCGTCGGCTTGGGGACTGAAGGTCCCGGGTTCGATTCCCGTCAAGGGCATATACCTTGGTTGCAGGCATATCCCCAGTGGGGGTGCGCAAGAGGCAGCTGATCGATGACTCTCTCTCATCGACGTTTCTAACTCTCTATCGCTCTCCCTTCCTCTCTGTACAAAATCAATAAAATGTTTACAAAAAAAAAAAATTTAAAAAGTGGTGGTTCAGCCCAGCTGGTGTTGCTCAGTACTTGATTGTTGACCTATGAACCAGGAGGTCAGAGTTGGATTCCTGATTGGGGCACATGCCTGGGTTGCAGGCTTGATCCCCAGTGTGGGGCATGCTGGAGGCAGTCGACCAATGATTCTCTCTCATCACTGATGTTTCTATCTCTCCCTTTAAAATCAATAAAAATATATATATATTAAAAAGCAGTGGTACAGCCGAGACCGGTTTGGCTCAATGGATAGAGTGTCGGCTTGGGGACTGAAGGGTCCCGGGTTCGATTCCGGTCAAGGGCATGTACCTTGGTTGCGGCCATATCCCCAGTAGGGTGTGTGCAAGAGGCAGCTGATCAATGACTCTCTCTCATCGATGCTTCTAACTCTCTATCTCTCTCCCTTCCTCTCTGTACAAAATCAATAAAATATATTAAAAAAAAAGCAGTGGTACATTTACACAATGAAATACTACTTGGCCATAAAAAGAAAGGAAATCTAACCTTTTGCAACAGCATAAATGGGCCTGGAAAGTATTATGCTAAGTGAAATAAGCCAGTCAGAGAAAGACAGATATCATATAGTTTCACTTATATATGGAATATAATGAATAAACAAAAGAGAAACAGACTCATAGATACAAACTGACAGCTGTCAGAGGGGAGGGGAGTTGGGTGTCTAGGTGAAATAGTTGAAGGGATTAAGAAGAAAAAAACAAACAAAAAAACCTCATAGACACAACAGGATGGTGATTACGAGAGGGAAAGGAGGTGGCAACAGGTAGAAGAGGGTAAAGGGGATAAATGACAATGAAGGGAGACGTTTTGGATGGTGAACGTACAGTACAATATACAGATGATGTATTATACACTGAATTGTACACTGAAAACAAAAAAATGTCAACACGATATATTCAATAAAAATTTTTTTTAAATATATTTTATTGATTTTTTTACAGAGAGGAAGGGAGAGAGATAGAGAGCTAGAAACATCGATGAGAGGGAGGGGGGCAAAAAGAAAATCAACAAAATATGTAAAAATAAATAAGAAGGAAAAAAAAGAAAAGAAACATCGATGAGAGAGAAACATCGACCAGCTGCCTCTTGCACACCCCCTACTGGGGATGTGCCTGCAACCCAGGTACATGCCCCTGACCGGAATCGAACCTGGGACCTTGCAGTCCACAGACCGATGCTCTACCACTGAGCCAAACCGGTTTCGGCTCAATAAATTTTTTTAAGTGCTAAGAATGCTCTGAGTTCCCACAGACTTGTAGGAGTATCTCAGAGTAGCAGTGGTATATAGGAGAGAGGGGTCTGTCACTATTAACTGTGTGACCAGAGGAAGTCACTTCATCTCTCTAAAACTCAAGTTTTTCCATCTATAAAATTGAGATACCATCAATCAAGGATAATCTGAATATAGTACATAGCATTTATAAAAGTTCAACAAATATGAGATATGTTCACACACACACAGATACCCATCCACATTCACACTCATATGCACCCTAAAAACTGGTATAAGTTTTAGAGCTAATATAGTACCTACCCCAGGGTCTAGCTGAATAAATGATATGTTATCTACAGAAAAAAAGAATGCATTGATGCTCAGAATAGGAAAACACTGGAGTCCCTTAGCATCAGCATCACCTGGAAACTTATAAGAAATGCAAATTCCAGGTCCTTGCTCAATTTACTAAATCAAAATTTCTGGAGGTAGGATCTAGCAATTTGTGTTTTAAAAAGCCCTCCAGGTCATCCTCATGCACACTTAAGTTGGAGTACCAATGACTTAGATCAGGGTTTGACTGTTTTTATGAAGGGCCACATAAATGTTTTAGCTTTACAGTTTGTTACTACTACTCAACTCTGCCATTGTAGTGTGAAAACAGCCTAAATAATATATAAATGAATGAGCATGGCTCTGTTTCAATAAACTTTTATTACAAAAACAGGCAATGAGGTTTGGAAACTAGATAGAGGTGGTGCTTGCACAACATTGTGAATGTAATTATTCACTTTCAATTGGTTAGTTTTGTGATATGTGAATTTCACCTCAATAAATTACTTTAAAAAAAAACACACACACCCATCAGCAGCAAATTTTTATTAGATGGAAGATACCTAGGGTTGACTCAAAGGAAAGTGGCAACAATTGGCAAGCATTCCTCCACAGAGGAGAGGACGCATTCCTGGCTGTGGGACCCTTCTATCTAAGGGTCAGGGTCACCTGCTTAACTTTGACCACTCAGAGAGCTCTTCCCCTGGGCACTCAATATCACCAGTGTTGGCATGAAAGAGCCTACAATGAGCTAGTTCAACTTGGCTATTAGTTCTTCCAGTTCTGGCCGAGCTTTGAATCTTCCCTTGAAGTCTTCTTCAGAGTGCTGGGGAGAAGAAAAAATAAGTGGGAATCACTGCAGAGCTTTCAATTACTCAAATATGCACAGCATCGAAAAAGGATCCCCCTGCCACCTCAGGAGAGAATGCATCAGAATTCAACTAGCTTTATTGAGTATCTATTATGTACCAGACTTGTATTAGGTACCATGGATTCAAAGCTGAATTGGACTTCCTCCCTGCCTTGAATGAACATCCAGTTTGATGACAGAAGACAGATTTATACAGAACTAATGTCAAAACTCTATAAGTATCACAATAGAAGGACTTATAAAAAGAGAGAATGCCAAAATTCCCCATTAACAATAGGAAATAACAGGTGCAGGACTGGATTATTTCAAATCAGCATGACCATCACATTTTCTCTCTAGATACAGATCTACAGTAATAAGCAAAGGATTAACAAGCATGGACTCAGAACAAGGGAGCTGCATGAAGCAAATGGCATCAGTCTAATATGACCTGATATTTCTGTGTCATAATAAGAATCATCTTGGCAACAAGGACCAAATACTCAGTATTTAGGCTAAAGTTCCTAATGTTTTCCAAGTTCTCCATGGCAAACTTCCTTCTGACTGGTATTCTTTACTGAATATATGCAGTGAGGGTACAATTAAGTTTCAAAGATCCAAGAGCTTTTTCTATAAAATACATTTCCCTATTTGTGTTCTGATTAGTTATACTGAATGTGATCTTAAATGGTGCTCTTTCTGTGTACAACTGCCTGAGGGGGAGAATTTTGAGGTGTGATGGACTTATGCCTAACATCAGGATGCTGTGATGGATTTCAGCTTGTGGTCCATAAAGCATCATTCTGAAGAGCCAGAATCACAGTAATACCAGTCTGGACTAAATTATCCACATCTCTTTATTGTTTCTAAAGCCACGTAGTCTAGATAGTTGGGCCACCAGGGGGACTCTTCTCAAACTACCACCTACCTCCTTCACTGACAGTTTGACTCCTTCAGGAAGATTGCTTTGGATTATTTCCAAGAAAATCTCTGCAAATGTAGCGCTCAAACCGCTTATCTGCAAAA